TTTTTTTTTACGGAATCAAGATTCGCTGCAAATAATCTATAAACCGGTGGTTATTATTAATAGATGTTCTTGCAATTCTCCCCATTTGCCTTTGTAGTATTACTACTACAAGGAGCCCATGTATGCAGATAAAGAAAATATAAATGTGATTTACTATATTTATTGATTCGAAGGATAACTAAGATTACCATAACGGTTAGTACTCTTTAAATCGTTTAGTCATTTTAGATAAGAAATTCCTTTTAGTCCTACTAAAGGATGTAAACCGGAAAAAGAAAAGAAATTTATGACAGTTTGTATATCGTTTTTGGAACTAACAGAAAATTGATTATACATGTTTTTTTCAATATCTATTTTTCTATCAGTATTAAATACTAATTTAAATGATTCAAATAAACTAGTATGTATTCTTTGTTTCAATTGAAAACAACCGTCATTATTGCTTTTTATGAAAAATGATCCTTCTGCCATTGTGAAACCAACTATTCAATTTTTAAAGAAACTTAATTTTACGTAATCTTCTGAATTTTCTACATAAAACAATTTAGGTATCTTACTTATATTAGGTATATTATCGAACCTTTTTATGTCTTGTTCTAATATTAGCATAGCAGTATTAAATTGGTTATTTCTTGTTTCAGTTAAAAAAAATAGGTTATGGTGTAACAACAATGGAAATAAAACTTCTTGTAGATCGGTTTTGTTAATAATTAACTTACAGGTTGGACTTCTATTATCTTTGTATATAGTTATTTTACCTATATTAAGAACAGAATGTATATACTCTAAATTTGATCGATCTTTTAAATGAACAGATATAACAAGTTTAATAGTTATGAATCCTTTAGTTGTTTTTGTAATTTGTATGTAACCATCTCCATCAATAAATCCTAGTAAAAAAGAAAGAAAAGAAGAAGGTATAGATAAATAATCTTCTTTATGAAATCGCACATTTTTATTTACTTTTTTTAATGCGTTGCTGTTAACAGTACCTATCGTAGGCAGTAGACTAGATAAAGAATAAACTGTTATACAACGATCTGCAAAATGATTTGACTCAACAATATCTTGACCTACTCAAGGTATGGCACTCATAAGGTTAGTAATAACTGTAGCACCTCATAATGACATTTGCCCATAAGGAAGAACATACTTACTTACTTATATTTAATCCATTAAAAATAAGCTAAAATAACTTTGGATTTGTATATTTTATTAGTTAATCCTTTTTAACTAAAAGTTCCGACTGTACATTAAGCAGCATTTCAGCCACCCATTAGTGACCCAGTCTGTAGCGATCATTTATATAACCGACGGTCTTAAAGTCTATTAAACTTCTTTAACCGTTTTCACTAATATAGCCAAGTAATATCTAATACTACTCTATAACTCCGTCGAGTCATACCACTTTAATCTTTTTTTTT